TAAGATGACTTTTAATTAAGATAAAATGAAAATCGATGGAAGAGAACTTAAGTCCAACTTATGAAAACTAATTTTTATTATAAAAAAAAGGAAATAAGATGAATAAGATTGTTAAGAGGAGAAATATCAACTTGCTGACATAATCTTGAAATTGGGATGCATTAGGGGGGGTGGGGGGAAGTCAGGGAACAAGGTTATGAAACGGGGATTTGCTGATTTTATACATGTTTTTGTCTTTGTTTTTTCTTTGTGTATGTTTTGTCTTTATAAAAGCAGAAAACCAAATAAAAATTTTATAAAAAAAAAAAAGAAAAGAAAATGGAGGGAAGAAATGGCATAGAAATTGGACTTTAAGAAGGCTGATTTCAAAAAGCTTAAGGAACTACTGGGTGAAATCCCATGGTCAGAAATACTCAAAGAGAAAGGAGTCCAAGACAGATGGGAGTTTCTTAAAGGTGAAATACTAAGGTAGACAATTCCAACAAAAACGAAAAAGTGGGAGGCACCTAAATAAACCAGTGTGACTGCATAAGGAGATTACAGATGAACTGAGATGTAAGGAGGGAAGGTATAAGAAATAGAAAGGAGAAATCACAAAGTAAAAGTATATACGAGTAGCCAAGAGTTGCAAGGAGAAGGTCAGGTGGGCCAAAGCTCAGAATGAACTCAGGCTTGCAAGAGAGGTTTAAAATAATAATAAATCTTTCTTTGGCTATGTTTGAAGCAAGAAGAACAAGCAAATAGTATGGGCAAGTATTATAGTTGAAATAATGTTCAGGTGGCGCACTTGGAACACCTCTCACTAGGCAACAGTCATTTTTGCTCCATTATATTCCTCAACAGTGTGTTACAATGATCTAACTTAGACATAACTAGGGCATGAATGACTGTTCAGTGTCATTGCATCTGCCATTAATTTTTCTCCCCCCTCCCTCCCAGCACACTTCGTTTCTTTGCAGCCATTTCCTATTATATGTTTCCATCCCTGCTGAACAGAAGTAAAATGAACATGCCTCTAATTTATTTTGAACACAAAGTTTCTGCTGTGTGGGAACACAGAATGATTCAACAGCTGATGTCCTTCCTCATTTGGTAGTGCTCTAATCCACCACAAACTGCTGTTTATTTCAGCAAGGTTGCTTCCTTTTAGTGATCAGGCAGTGCCACTAAGTTTGTAAGTACTGCATAGATGAAATTTTCTAAGAAAACCCAAGGAACAGGGGACATACCACACCCACGTCCAAGCTCAAAAATAAAGAAATTAGATTCTCCTCTTATTTAAATGAGGGGGCACTCTTTATCAAATAGGAGAAAGGGAAAAAATGAGTATGGATACTTTAGTAATTTACAAATGGCTGGAACCAAAAAAGTATGAGTACTTTGCCCAGGCAGCAAGGCTTCCTGCCTCTTTCTTGCTTAAGACATGTGTACCCAGAAGCTCTTATAAAGTGCCAAAGACAACAGGCAATGGATGTGACATGAAGGCTGGGAACATCAACCCTGCTGTGTTGCAATCCCTTGCATACTACCACAGAGCCTGGAGACAGGCAGGCAGGTCGTGCATCCAGCAGTGACCAGAGGAGGAATGACCACTGGAAGGAGCACAGAGAAGAAACGCCATAGCACATCTGCAACAGCACAATCGGATGCCTTCATCTGCCCTAGCTGCAACAAAACATGTCTCTCCCGCATCAGTCTCTACAGCCATAGCCAGCGCTGCAACCTTCCAACCGTTTGACTTCACCCCCAAAGGAGCACTCCTCCAATGACAGATGGATGCCAACCAGAGTTGAAACAGATAATTTCCAAAGCAATTAACGTCTCATTATTTATTAAAATTATATACCGCCCTTCATCATAAGATCTCAGGGTGGTACACAGAATAAAATTCTCCTCAGGCCTTTAGTACACTTTTTTGTGAGTTACCAGAAGATGACATGTAATGTCAGGTTCTGTGGGTTTATATGCCATAAACCCCATAATAATATATGAGAAATCCTTATTTAGAACTCATTAACAAAACTCCCATTAAGCTATTTCACCTCCTCTTTATTGAAAACAGATAAATGGAAGTACAAAACAAAGTCCACACACATTTTTACATGGGACAAATTGCTTTTGAGATTCTCTTAGGCATTTTATCTGAATGTGCAAAAGCAAAATAATAATAACGCAGAAATACAATAGAAATGCATGCAGAAGGTCTCAGGTTCAAGTCCTGACATTTCCAGTTTCAAAGACTATCAGGCAGCAGAAAAAGAGTTCTGCCAGTCAGAGTAGACAGTCCTCTGGGCTAGAGATGAATCAGTGGTGTGACAGCACTAATCATTCAGAGCACTAGAACTACCAAGTGAAACCTATGCAGGATATTGACTTCTAAAAATATCTTCCACCTGGTTATAGTAAGACACTTTATTATATGAATGCATATAAATAATACATAATTTAATTCCACTTTTCCACAGCTACGGCATACTGGGGTTGACCTTTTCACATTCAAGTATCTACAACTCCTAAAATCTCCTTCCTTGTCAGTCACTCGTCAGTGCAGATCCCGTAAGCATATATTCTCAAATTGTTTATATTTAACTTAATTTATTCAGTTACATGACTACGTTGTTGCTATTCTAGCCTCACAGCAAGTCTGCAAGATAGGTTACCAGGAAGATAGCAATTTATTAGAAGAGCCCTCTGTACTTCATGGATAGAAATGTGAACCTGGATTTCCAAGACCCAAGAATATAGGATATACAATTTTTTTAAATGGCTTGCAAGATAAGAGGCACAATATAAATCAATTATGGCATAATAAGCTGTTGTGGACTACAGTTAGCTTCATCAGATCAACACTAGCCCACAAAATACTGCCCTGTAATAAACATGAACCTTTAAGATGCCAAACATTGCTTGTGTGGCAAAAGCCGAACATAGATCCCACTCTGGAATAGATTAAGCTACAATCCTAAACAGTCTCACTAGAGAGTAAGACCTTTTGAACACTACAGAACTTCCTTGTGAGAGCATTGTACTGTCCATCATGATGGCTAAATGGAACATCGAAGTTCAGGGGCAGTGTACCTTCCAAATAGCTGATACCAAGGTCAAACAATGGGACAAATTACAAGATGACATCTCACTGCCCACTGTGAAAAGCAGAGTGCCAAAGTGTGTGCATCTTTTTGGACAGATTCAGCATGGCTCTCTTGCAGTTCTGTTGATACATGACAGCTCTAAAAACTCTGCCACTACGATGCCTTTGCTTTGCATTAAAATTTGTTGACCTGGAGTATCCTGAGCTGTGTGTGTGTGAAAATAAACCAAGAATACAACCCGCCACATTTACACCAAAGTGAATTCCCTTTGGAATGGGCTTCAATACAAAGCGAGATAATGAAAAAGCCTCCAGCAGGCGAAGGTGGTGTGTGAGATAAAGTGTGCAAGAGCACACAACCCCCTTCCTCCATCTCCAAAGCCAGCACGGTGCAGAGGCTGGTGCAGTTTTGGCTGATTGTCACCTGCAGCCTTCAAGATGTGTCGGATTGCCACTCCCATCAGCTCAATGCCATGGTCAGCGGTGATGGGAACCGTAGTCCATAAACATCTGGAAGGCCAGAGGCTCCCCAGCCCCTGGTGAACATCCCCATTTGCGGTGCAGCCCTAACCACGTCTATTTAGTTGCAAAGTTGCTTTGGGTTTCCCTGGGCAAGACAAAATGACAAGAAATGCAATAGATAATAAGAAATCTTACTGAATTCCACGGGGCTTATACCCAGGCCAAGTGGGGTTAGGGTTGCACCCAGCCACACACTGAGCGGCCTTGAGCCCTGTTTAGGGAAGTTTTAAATGTTTGATGTTTTATTGTATTTTTATTATTTTGTTGGAAGCCGCCCTAGAGTGGCTGGGGAAACCCAGCCAGATGGGCGGGGTATAAATAATAATTTATTATTATTATTATTATTATTATTATTATTACTCCCTGCCTCTCTCCTTAACATGCCTCACTCCCAATGGTTCGCGTGAGAACAAAATGGGCGGCAGAGAGACACAGGCACCTAAGCTGCCTCCAGCACCTCCAAGGATAGTGAGCGCAGCTATGATTTTAAGGAATCTCAATAATGGGGAGGAGGGCAAGGAATGGAATAAGATGCAGACGCCCTTTCTTCTCCCCGTTTGTATCTGATAAAAGTGACTCTAGCCCACTCTCTATTAATAATAATTAGTAATAATAATGTGCCACCAAACTCCCTACTTTCTTCTGCAAACACCCCTCGGGAAATCCTCAGAGAAAAGTCCCCCCCCCGAGTGGCCCCGCCTACCCCGCAACCTGCCAGCCCACGTGTAGAACCGGGAGGGGCACCCCAAGGGTCATCTAGTCCAACCCCGTCTCACTTCGCCTCAGCAGCGTTGCCCTCCCAACCCTACCCTGGAGGCTGCTGTTATTATCATTATTATCGTCATCGTTATTTACACTGTGCAGCTGGGAATGCTGAGGGGGGCGCGAAGAGAGGAGCCAGTAGCCTGGGCCCGCGGCGGCCTAAGCTCGCCTCGCCCCCCCTCACAGGCGCCTGCCTCCCCTCAGGCTGCAGCAACGGCCTTCCCTTACTTTTGTTTTTACTTCTGTGATATACCTCCCTGCTTCCCTCCTCTGCTCGCTCGCTTCCTTCCGCCCGCTCTGAAATTCCCGCCGCGAGTCTCTCGCTCTCTCCGCTTCCCTGTCAAAGTCCAGCGCTCGGCTTCCTCTCTTTCCCGCCCCCTCGCGACGCGGCACCTCATTGGTTAATTAATCCACCCGCCCTCCCTCCCGAAAGCGACGAGGCTTCTTTTTTGTTACGTTTGCCCCTCCTCGGCCGCCGTCGCAAGGCAAACGGCCTCCCTTTTTCTCTCTCCCCCCCCGACGCCACCCGCGTGCTGCGATGCATTCTGGGAAGTGTAGTTTTATTTCCCGCGTAGGAAAGGCGTAGGAACGGCCGTTTCTCGCTTCTTCCCACCCCGCCCACTCCTCCTCTCGCGCATGCGCGTTTGAAGAGGGGAGCCGGTGCTAAGTTTGAATGTACAGTACTGTACGTGCACTGGTAGATGTCATGTACAGTATGTTGAATTGTGGTTGTTGTTTTAATGATTCCCCCTGCGCCTCGTTTATGTCATAGTGGGTCTTTCCCCCCCCCTGTAAGTTGCCTTGAGTCCCCTCAGAAGAAATGATGGGGTATTATTATTATTATTAATAATACTCAATAGGGCAGTATCCCAGTTCTGGGTGACTTATTATGCAAATCATGTGATGGGTTGGGAAAGGGCTAGTTTGGGATTAGCTGCCGTTTGCATTTTTTCAAAATTAAAAAAAAATGCAATAGTAGGTTGTCGAGAGCTTCATGCAAAATAAGTAGAATGCATATTCATGGAATGAGCTTGTTCATATTTTCTAGGTAGGCAGAACTGCACGCAAACAGTGCAGAAATGTGAGAAAGTGCGTCAGTGGTCAGCAAAAAGCAAATCTGTTAGAAAAGAACCACAACTTATAGCGCAACCGTAAGGAAAATACTACTGCAGCATTTGGGACTTAGAGAAAAGGTGAGTAACATGGTAGAAGCTTTTTAAAATTATGCATGACATGGAGAAAGCGGATAGAGGAGAAATGTCCCTCTTTCATAACACTTGAACTCATGGATATCCTATGAAGCTGAACTTTGAAGATTCAGGATGGAGAAAAGAAAAGACGGCTTCACACAGCACACAGTTAAACTATGAATCTCACTCCCCCACTTAGATGGCTTTAAAAAAGGATTTGGTACAAATTCATAGAGGAGAGGGTGGTCAAGGTCTACTAGCCATGATGGCTATGCTCAATGCTTCCGAATACTAGTTGCTGGGAACCACAGAGTGCTCTTGGGCCGAGGTTCTGCTTGCTAGTTTCCCTCATGCATCTGGTTGGCCACTGTGAGAAGAGGATGCTGGACTAAATGGGCCACTGGCCTGATCCAGCAAACTCTCCTTCCATTCTTCAGTTCAATGTTAAGCATATATAACAAAATAGTATTGTGGCACTTGAAAGTCTATCAAATTTATTCTGCCATAACTTTTCCAGAGATCAAGCTCACTTTGTCAGATGCATGAAGTGTTGGTGCTGACCTTTAAAGCCCTAAACGGCCTCGGTCCAGTAATCTGAAGGAGCATCTCCACCCCCATCGTTCTACCCGGATACTGAGGTCCAGCGCCAAGGGCCTTCTGGCGGTTCCCTCGCTGCGAGAAGCCAAGTTACAGGGAACCAGGCAGAGGGCCTTCTCGGTAGTGGCACCCGCCCTGTGGAACGCCCTCCCACCAGATGTCAAAGAGAACAACAACTACCAGACTTTTAGAAGACATCTGAAGGCAGCCGTGTTTAGGGAAGTTTTTAATATCTAAGGACTACTGTATTTTAATATTTTGTTGGAAGCCACCCAGAGTGGCTGGGGAGGCCCAGCCAGATGGGCGGGGTATGAATAACAAACTATTATTATATTATTATATTAAATGAAATATTAGTTGGCATGTATATGAAGCAGAAAATTATTGTAGCCTTATGAGGCTTTGCCCTCAGGTGGGAAAAATATTGCGCCTGGGAAAGGGAAGTGGGAGTCAACAGACACTCAAGAAATAGTTTTGGAGAAAAAGGTTTTATTTCTACCATCCATGAACTGGTAGAAGGAGCAAGTGTGATAGTCCACAAAAGCATGCACGAAGTTCACAGTCATGTGCACAAGCATATATACCCCTTTCTAGTTCCCTCCCCCCTTTTTCCTCCCTCAGGAGTCCCGCCCCATGTTGAGGTTCCTCTGAGCATGAACAGAAAGCTGTCTTGGGACTATTGTGGACTCTTGGCAGGAAAGGGGGTGAGGGGGTTTTCAGAGTGTTCCCGTTGTTTCATTCTTGTGCTTTGGCATGGTTCCCGGAGAGAAAGCAAGTTGCAATGTGGTTCTGAGAAAGGCCTGAGAAGACAATGGGCTCTGTTCTCTACCTTGTCGCAATATTTTTAGTTACAGCAAGCGGAATGTTTCTGATGCTTAGCTAATGCCTTTTAGCTGCTGAGAAAGATGATTTTGAAAAGCTCTGAGAAGCTTTGAGCCTGCTTTTGGGGGGGGGGTGACTTCGGGCCTAGGTGAGGTCACCTGTTCTCACCTTCCTTCATTATGAGATGCAAAAATTACAATTATATATAAGAGGCACACCTTAACCTTTTACAGCAGCAGACTGTTGATCATTTACTGAGCATTGCTGACACCATTGTATAATTAACAGCTTATATTTTGGGAATGATTCCTGTTCTTATGTAGCTGCGTTGTTTCATACTTTCTTGATGTCCCATGATCATATTATAAAGTAGTTGTGTTCTATGTTGCAGTTCAGTGACTGCTAGGAGTTGTTTCTTTTTGTTTTCCAGTGTATTTCTTATCGATAAAAAAATTCAGTGTGGCGCGAGAAAATTTTTATTCTGAAAGTGCATATCTTCTGCCGTTTCTCTGATGAAGACAGAGACGTCCTACCATACCCTCCAACATTTCTCCATTGAAAATGGGGACATCCTGGGGGGAAAGTGGGACATTTGGGGATCAAATCAGAAACCGGGACGGCTTCTGTAAATCCAGGACTGTCCTTGGAAAATAGAAACACTTGGAGGGTCTGAAAGTGTGGCCCAGGGAAAAGAGTTTGAGAGCCACTGTGTCTTCTACAACAGTGGACAACCCTTCTGTTTATCTCTGCAGACTGTTGGTAAGGTGCTCTGGGGTTACTGTGAGCAGTTAGAGGGACGACTGCCTGGCAACCACTGGAGGAGTTCCAGGAAATAAGACTCCATGTGTCAGAAGCAGAGGGCCCTCAGCAGGTGCCCAAAGGTGCCAGCTGCTGATGTGAGCCCTCTCCAAGAGGGCTTCATATATATTCCCACTTTCTGGTTTCAATACAGTCATACCTCGGGTTACAGATGCTTCAGTTTGTGCATTTTGGGGATACGGACACGCCAAAACCTGGAAGTACCGGAACGGGTTACTTCCGGGTTTCGGCGCTTGCGCATGCACAGAACCACTAAATCCCGCTATGCGCAGAAGCGCCGAATCGTAATCCGCGCGTGCGCAGACACAGCACTGCTGGTTGCGAACGTGCCTCCCGCACGGATCACGTTCGCAACCCGAGCGTCCACTTTATAACCTTTTCACACATCTGTATCCCTGGAAGTGCGGAATCGTTTGTGGGAGAGAGGGTTGAAAATATTCATTGTGGGGGTGCCCGATTTCCCCATTACTTTTTATCTCAGTTCTGGAGGTGTTGCTGAATATGATAAGAAATGACCAGCAGGTCAAAGGAGTGCAGGTCGGAGCTAAACATTATAAGTTGAGAGCGTTTGCAGATGACTTAGTATTGACTTTGCAAGAGCCAAACACTAGTACGAAAAAGGTGTTAGAAATAATACAACAGTTTGGCCAGGTAGCCGGATTTAAGTTGAATAAGCAAAAAACTAAAGTTTTAGGGAAAAATCTAACAGATATGGAAAAGGAGAAATTTCAAGAGGAGACAGGTTTGACAGTGGTCAAGAAGGTGAAATACCTAGGGGTATACTTAACATCTAAAAATCTGAATTTGTACAAGGACAACTATGAAAAATGTTGGTTAGAAATTAAAAAAGATCTAGAAATATGGTCAAGTTTGAAATTGTCAATGTTAGGCCGAATTGCAGTGATTAAAATGAATGTATTGCCTAGAATGTTATTTCTGTTTCAGACCTTGCAGATTCTTGACAAGATGGAATGTTTCAAGAGGTGGCAGAAAGATATTTCGAAATTTGTCTGGCAGGGCAAAAAGCCCAGAATTAAATTTAAAATATTGACAGATGCTAAAGAAAGAGGGGGGTTTGCCCTGCCGGACTTAAAATTGTATTATGAGGCAGCAGCTTTTTGCTGGCTGAAGGAATGGATGCTCCTCGAGAACACAGACATCTTGGATCTGGAAGGTTTTAATAATGTTTTTGGTTGGCATGCATATCTATGGTATGACAAAATTAAGCAGCATAGTGCCTTTAAAAATCACATTGTTAGAAAAGCATTGTTTAATGTATGGATGAGATATAAAGATCTGTTGGAAAACAAAACCCCTAGATGGGTGTCACCAGTCGAGGCTAAAGCAGTAAAGAAACTCAATATGGAGGTCGGATGGCCGAAGTATTGGGAAATTTTGGAACAGGATGGAGATAAGTGGAAATTACAAAGCTATGACAAATTGAAACATAAAGTACAAAACTGGCTTCAATACTATCAAGTAATGGAGCTTTTCAAACAGGACAGGAAAATTGGCTTTCAGGTGGAAAAATCAAAACTAGAGATTGAACTGCTAGAACCCAATACTAAGAATCTATCAAGAATGTATAACTTGTTGTTGAAATGGAATACACAGGATGAAACGGTGAAATCAGCTATGATTAAATGGGCACAAGATATTGGTCATGATATTATGTTTGCTGACTGGGAACAGTTATGGACCACCGGTGTTAAGTTTACGGCATGTAATGCCTTAAGAGAAAACATAATGAAAATGATTTACAGGTGGTACATGACCCCAGTCAAGCTGGCAAAAATCTATCATCTGCCCGATAACAAATGTTGGAAGTGTAAAGAGACTGAAGGTACTTTCTACCATCTCTGGTGGACATGCCCGAAGATTAAGGCCTTCTGGGAAATGATCTATAATGAAATCAAAAAGGTACTCAAATGTACCTTTCCTAAAAAACCAGAGGCCTTTCTCTTGGGCATTGTCGGCCAATTGGTGACAGAGAGGGATAGAACTTTCTTCATGTACGCCACAACAGCAGCAAGAATACTCATCGCAAAGTATTGGAAGACACAAGATCTACCCACTCTGGAAGAATGGCAGATGAAAGTGATGGACTACATGACATTGGCCGAGATGACAGGCAGAATCCGTGACCAACGAAAAGAGACGGTGGAAGAAGAATGGAGAAAATTTAAAAGTTATCTTAAGGACTACTATAAACTTAATGAATGCTAAAATGTTGTGGTTTCCAGAAGCAAAGGGGTACAGGGACATAAGGCTAGAAATATAAAAGAGGACTAAGATGATAGAGGTTGGAAAGTAACAATTGGGAGTTGCTAGTTGAATTATGGACATTGGGATGCAGAGAGGGGGGGTACGGGGAAGTCCTAGGAAAGAGGTTTATGAAAATAAGTTTGAAACTATACGTGTATGTTTGTTATTTTTAGTGTTTGTCTGTTTTTCTCAAAAATTTTGTAAAACCAATAAAAATTTTATAAAAAAAAAAAAAGAAAATATTCATTGTGGTTGCAAAAAGTTACACGGGAAGCAGGCCAACAATATTTTTCCCGGTGATATCAGGAGGCGGATGAATGATTCACTTCAGTAAGTTCAACTTGGGAGTCTCTTAAAGAGTGCCAAGCCTGGGAAATTATTTTGTTGAATGACATCAATCCAAATTAAAGGATTCTTGCGACTTTCAAAGTGGTTATGCTTATTTATTTTATCGCCCCAATTTTTTTGTTGATGAGAGTGCTTTTTACCCTCTTACCTGGCCCATCATTAGGCCTTCCTTCTAATCACCTTCTGGAATATAGCATACGATGCCACCCATCATATACCTAATAGAGGCCCCCACAAACGGTACAGTCTTGCTATGGCTGTACAAAGGACTTCTGTTTATCATCAAACATTTCATGAATCCCATTACGTGTGAAAGAATTATTATCTATCCCGCTGCAGCAAAAACACTTTTCCCTATAATGGAATTTTTACTCTGGAAATTTATTTTAGTATTAAAAGGTTCCACTTTATACTGTCTACAGTTCAATCAGTGATCTAAAAGGCACTTACATGCTTTGAACGAGATACATAAAAAGCTTTTATTGCAAAAGCTTTGCAGTATCTACCAATTTTGCCATTGATCTGTTTCCATGTAAGGCAATCCTGGAAGGTGCCCAGGCTGTATAAAACCACATGGTGGGTTTTGATCTCCAGCCGGTGATTAAAGCACATTATGGAGGTTTGAAAATTTTCTTGTGGCTATTAGCATACCTCGAAACATCACTGTATTAAATGCTAGCGGTGTTCTTAATACATGCTATTTAAAAACAAGAACCCCAGAAT